GTAATGACTTGTTTTGGACTTGTGGGGACTTGTAAGGACCTGTGATGGACTTGTGAGGACTTGTGAGGACTTGTGTGATTGACTTGTGATGGACTTTTAAGGAATTGTGTGATGAACTACTGTTGACTTGTGATAGATTTGTGAGGACCTGTGATAACCTGCTGTGGACTTGTGAGGACTTGTTAGGAATTGTGTAATGGACTTGTGAGGACTTGTGATGGATTAAGAGAACTAGTGATAACCTGTGATGGACTTGTGAGGACTTGTAAGGAATTGTGTAATGGACATTTAAGGTCTTGTGAAAGACTTGTTTTATTTGTGGTGGACTTGTGAGGACTTGTGATGGACTTGTGAGGACTTGTGATGGACTTGTGAGGACTTGTGATGGACTTGTTAGGACTTGTATTATGGACTTGCGTGGTGGACTTGTGAGGACTTGTAATCAACTGTGTCGTACATTACTACAATGCTGTATTGTCCCATTCAATCGCACCTGTTGAGATCCGAATTCTGTCAACGCCCAAGGAGAACTTTCGAACCGCAATGTTCAAAACTCAAGCCATTCCCGCCCATCTATTTCTGCATCAGTCGGTCAATACATCCAGTGACACAATATCCATCAAGTTTATTAGATTAGCTTTATCTCATGAGCAGACCATTCACCACAGGTGGCACGGATCACAATACCAAAAACAGCCTTTCCCGGCTAAATTCTTCCAGAACTTGCAGGGAATTTGAACCACACATCTATTATTTGTGAAGATTGTTTGAATTTGTACCTCGCTGATGGCATCCATCATGCGGCCTTAGTCATTTTGATGAATGCCCTATTAAGCCTGAGCAATCTTGAATTATTCCCCTTTCCCCGATTGCGTTCCCACCCAAGCTAAAGATTTCCGAAGAGGAAATTGACTGTGAAAACAACTCGCAAGAAAAAATAAATGACTTGGCGTGTAGGATGCCGCATGCAGGGTGAGACCAGTTTACCGAATTACCAGAATTTGGCCCAGTCTGCATGCTTTCCTCTTGCAGGCTTTCCTGTAAATGCCAGCTTTAATTGTGTTTTCGGAACCTTGTTATACTGTTCTGAAGGGACCCCAAACTCGCTGAGGCTTCCAGTCGAAAGCAATTTGGTCTTCGATCAAGAAATCTCGTTAACCATGGTTGGACGAACCTTTAGTGAATGCACACTAGTCAACAATGTTTGGATGAGTATTGTGAACTATATGTATTCGGGACCAGTCTACATGTACATGTACATGTATCAAGGTTGGTTGCCTCACTGGTTACCAATAGCTGTACGTACATGTATCGCATTGTAGGCCTACAGCAGGGAACCAGGAAGGTGAAGATTTTTGCTGGTCCCAGAGGGCCAGTCTAGATTCCTCTTTGTACCTATAGATCTCACTGACTGACTCTTGTGAGCCTGGCAGTGCTATCATATAGGGAAACCCATAATGCCGATGAATGGGCGAAATTGAGTCCATTGTGTTGACCAGATGCATGAAAAGAGTTCCAGTGAATAGCCATTCTGAGTCAATGGAAAAGAATTTGGTGTGCTCTGGGACCAGTCTTGTGAATGACTTTATCTGCAGTTTGAATTAGTGATGTTCAACAAACTAGCAACATGTACATTTACATTACAAGGGCAGAACCAGCTGACCAATCATTTCAATTTCATGATTGTTTGCATTCTTGTAAAATAGACAAAAATTGGTTTTCAACAGTGCTGAGGGTGACATGCTGCGCATGTGTTCCTTGGGCAATACGTGTACGCTTTATTATGCCACTTCTGTGTAGCCAAACTGGGTTTTTAGAACTTCTTCCTTATGAAGCCACTTATTCAGAAGTGAACAGGCACTGTAGCTCAGAAGCCTGAAGAATAGAGACAGGACGATGAAAACATCTTCAGTAATTCAAGTGTTTGAGAAGAGAGGAAAATACAGTCACAAATGTGACCCAACCCACAAAATGAGTCACAAGTTGCCAGAGTAGGTTTGTTGGAGGAGTATTTTGTTTGTTTGGGTTCTTTTGTGGCATACGTGTAGGTATCTTGCACAACAGAACTCAATAAGAGCAGTCAACACTTATCATCAAAGTAGATGTGCATTATTAAAGATGTGATTGTGATATCAAACTGAAAAACAGGGTGTGCTTATTCTAGTCGAGAACTAATAGTTAAAACATAGGCCTATATTTAAGACTTACTACTTGTTAAGACATAAGACCTATTTTCTAAGATTTGGTCACAAATGCAGATCTCTTAACGTCTGACCTTTTGCGAGTAACGGCGAGAGGAAATCCATCCAACGTTTCCCCGCTGCGATTCCATCGCGGATACCCCCTCCTGACTAATCTATCATGAATGCCGGTCTTTCATTCGCCGGCTCCGCACCAAAGCACGACGATGAGTCAAACCACTGCGCCGCAAATGAAATTACGACTATCACCGTCCAAATCAGTCCCCGGCGCATGGCCTTGATTTGCGCTCCGGAGAACTTGTTCCTGGACACGCGGCCCCCCAACGATGTACACATGTTGTCATGTCAATTACGCAGCACGCGAATGATGAGTTTATCTCGGTGTTCGATCGAGGGCGGTGTGGTGTCGTCGTCAGCATGGTGATTGACGATGCTTGGTTCTATCAGACACCGGACCCGGTCCTGATTAGTTCCATACTCGCTAACTTTATTTAAAGCTTTGCAGTCAACTTACATGTAGTTTGATTACAAGTACTACTTCTGAAGTACATGTACATGGTGTTGCTATCAAAAGACTATAGATGTAGTATTCACACTGCTGTTTTTCCCTGCTGTTGTCTTTGCCTGTTCAGTTTCAAATTTGACATTAATGAGACTGTAAATGACAAAGCCGCCTGCTCTTATTTTCTCAACATTTGGGTGTGTACAAATTTATTGCTGGCCCAAGATGCCACAGGAAACACTCTCAGAAATCACACCTCGCCCTGCAAACCAAATCTTGCTACCAGAAAACCCAGGAGAATCTTTGATACCTCGTAACTTTTCTTCCCGCGAGGGTTAAGTGAATTGGCACCTTGTCCAAGATCCGTAAGCTAATGTAGAGCTGTATTTTGTGCATGTTGAACTTGGTTGCTGGTAAACTGGCAAAAGAGGAAGAGGGAACGAAAGGTGATGAAAAGGGTTCCCCTAAGGGGTGAATTGGGCATTCACGGGGGTCACTGACTGTTCCTCAAATTAGATCATTTCCGTCTTGACACCTTAGGTGGAGATTGAGTCTGTCAAGAAATATCCCCTCCGGGAGGCTAGTGAACCCCCTCTACGAACCAAAAGGTGCCAGCTTGTCAAACCGAAACGTGGATGGCGTTACTACAACGCCCTGCTTAACGTTCTGATTAAACCAACATGATTTTCTTGTAGAGTTGCAGCATGTTTTTGAGCCTGGGATGAATTTATTAGACAGTTGGTACATGTACATGATGGTAACCAATCGAAACTGGGGATATCTCGGCTGATTTGAATTAGGCCAAGCGGGGCGGCTATCACCGTTTTCTGATTGAAGCCATTTTTCTTGGATCTGGGACGAGCATCGGTATGAAATTAGTAATTTACGATTGGCCTGTAAATCAACCCCCGTGCCCTGCATTTCACCCCTGGTCTCAATTTCCCCTGCTATTGACATCTATACAAGTGCCTCCTCTCTGTAGCTCTACATTCACCCCTGAGTGATCCCATCTCACCCCTCCGATGTCACCTTTGCCAAATTTGCCCCCACCCAGGCCTCGCTGACAGGCCTACCCTAATCAACCGCTACCCCTTTCTGACATCCCTTCAGACCCCATCTGTACCGGTTTAACCAGTTCCATACGGTTCCCGTTTCCCTTTGCCGCGACGTTTGCATCCATCCATTACACCGTCTGGTCATTTCACAGCAAAGCGTGAAGCATATCCTGGATTTCGGTTTTGTTCAGCTGTTCAGAAGGTTTTTTACATGTTCACGTTTCACTTTCTCCCCCTAAGCGTCAAATAAGGCAACATACGTGCCATTCTAAGGCCACATTTTATGATGCTTTGCTGGAGAGAAAGTAATAATTTGTGAAGGGGGGAATCAGGTTCAGTTTTTTTTCTGAGTATTCATTCTGTTTCTAATGTAAATCGAGGTTTGGTTAATTTGACTTCCAAATCAGATATCTTTATGCTTCTGTCTTTTACAAGAAATAAAAAGTCTTTTAGAATATTTTTTTGGATGAGTGTTAGAAATTTGATGGAAAAATTATTATTTGATGTAAATATTTTAAAATTTGTTGAGATTGATTATGGAGTATATCGATAAAAGGTCAAAATTGTTTGGTTGATACGATTAAGCACACCAATTGTGCTTGTAAACTCTGGAGGCAACTGTTTGGAAAAGCCTTTGTTTTTGTTCTGATTTTTTTTTTGTACTTTTCTTCTTCTTCTACCATTCCAAACCCCATATTTTTTGACATTGTTTTATAGGAAAGCAAAACTTCGCAGAAACAAAGACCCTGTACCATAGTTCTGTCTTAAAAATGTACGTCAGCACTACATTGTATGTCATCACGTGTCACGTGACGACATCTTAAAGGGTGCATATTTCACTGTTCTTTAGAGAGCTACAAGTCTGGTAGGGTTCAAACTTGGTATGTAGATAGGGACTTTGTGAACATTGAAGTGATGCCATAGATGTCTAGTGTTAATTTTGTTGTCCCCTCCATTTCCCTAAAGATGTTCTTTTTTTCTCTCCAAGTCATAAACAAGAATGGTGTTGTGTAAAAAACTTTACCCATTTTGTTGTTGTCATTCCGACCTTTGCTTCATCTTGCACCCAGACTGTTACTTTAAAACTGGAGGTTCAAATCTAACCTTTGTATTTTTTTGTACATTGCAGTTGAAGCTTAGAAAACATAGTAAGAAAAACACTGGAAGGAAGATGGGTTTAAAAAAAATAATTATTTTGATTGAAAGTCCTCACTCAACTTTTTTTTCTTCTTGTCCAAGCAGAAGTCAGTCTATTGCTGGGAAACCGCAGATCAAGGATGCTAGAGAACGAATCAAAGTCAGCCGCCCATCGGCTACCAGCCGACTCGGTTACCAACCCTACCCAGCTAGTGAAGACAGCAGCGGCAACGAGAGCGACACTGGGGGCGCGTTCACCTCCGGCAACATCCCAAACCTCAAGATCATGGTGTCCAACGACCGCGATTCGTGGGATGACGATGAGGATGATGACGATGAAACAGAGCAATCCCAACCCAAAGCTTTGCCGGATTTGAGGAGTAGGCTGAAAAATCGTCGATCCAATCCGCAGTTCCTAGACAACCTACCCTCGCTTTCAATACAGGTTGATCGGGACAATTTTTGATAAGTCAACGATAACAACTATTGAAATAATAAATCACAAATGTGCGCGGTGGATGTAAATTTCTTATTCAGATTTGCCTTTCCGAATGTACATGTAACTCTAAGCACTGTATGCTTACTTTATAAAAAAAAAAATCAAACACTTGCCTTGGTGGGAATCGAACCCACAACTTCCTCATTAGTTGTGCAGATGTCTTACCGCTCTATGATTGATGAGCCTGGTTTTGTTGGTTAGAATCTGATATTGCAGTACATGCAGGTACTGCCATGAATGACAATGTGATGTAATTTTGGAAGAGCTCTGAGTGTACTGTACTTGTGAGTCACGAAGTTGAAGGGCAAAACCTGATATTTAATTTGAAATAATTGCTTCCTACATATTAATTTGTTTGATTTTAACCTTACCTTGGACATTACATTTTGATCAATGAAAATTCATGTGAATCTTACATTAAGGTACACGTATGTGTATATTTAACGTACATGTAACCAAGAATTATGGAGGCAGTTAAAAAATATTATGAAAGCCATTTGAGGTCATTCTATAAATCTGGGTCCACCTTTTTTCCTGTCCCTGTTACATCTGAAGTCTGTGATTTTATAATTCTGATGCACTCCTTAACCATAACAGAACTCAATCCATCAAACCCCAACGGCGTGTTTTGTTGGAATCTGTCAGGATGGGTACAGTACCCTAAACTGACAGTCTTTTACGTTGGGTTGGCCCACCTCCAGAATCAAAGTCAGAAATATGTGTGCAGTTTCCCATATGGTGTTGAAATGTGCCAGGATGGGTATGGTTCCTAGTAAATCATGCTAGGGAGTTGGGGTTAATGCAGTCATCCTCCAAGAGTAATTATGAATAGCAAAGTACCTACATGTACCCAACCGATAGATCATTTGAAGTCATTCTTAATGATAGTTTAGCGTCAAATTATAAAGTACCTAGGTAAAAGGGACAGAACAAACGTCACATTTTGGACCTTAAATTTGTTGAATGACCCTACAATGTACATGTATGTCCAATGCCGCCATATTTGCTTCAGCGATATTTTGGACACTTGAAAGGTGTGTCATTGTCAAGCCTCAAAGTATGAAGTCCGGTATCCAGTCTAAATCATTTTCTTATACAGCAAAGCTGAGTTGTAGGGAGAATTTATCACTAGCGCATGACGGGTTTTGGGTTCAAAACCTACCTCGATCCTTGATTGTATGTGAAAAGTGTGCCCTCTACAAATTTTGTGTAACTTTTTTGTAATCAAGATTTCATACTGTTTTTCATGTAAACTGAACTTATTCCAATTTTCGTCTTGTTTTCTACTTCATCAAAAAAAAAATACAAAGGGAAACTGACTAGGTCGTGGTTCGCTTTTTTACCTGTAAAATTACTTCTGTAGATATGTAAATCTATTGATGTTTTCTTTTTTTTTCTTCGTAGTAACAAAGCAAGTTGTACTATTTATCTAAGATCCAGTTAAATAGTTGTGGAATTGAGAAAGTGAAACATTGATTACCCAGGTTATTCAAAATGAAAGTGTAGAAGATTACAGGAGAGGTTTGGGTACGTTTGCAAACATTCAAAATCATAATGCCTTTGATCATAATGCCTTTTTACAAAGCAGTCCCGAAGAAAGATCAAAGTTGAACTAAGAATCCCATGAGGTTTTCCTTCAAAATTACTCTGAATCTAGATACACATGTGAGCTTTTAGAAAATAATTTGTATGGATGTCTGTCGAGCGAGGGGGATTAATTTCCAATCAATTTTAAAATTGCAATTCTTAATTTGTTGTTGAAAATAGCCATGGTACTGGAAGCGATGATTTATAAGCATGACCCCATGGGGGCTTTGTGGGCAAGTTGTTGCTCCAATGAGTGCAAGAATATTCAATGCTTTTCCTTTGAGAAAGGAAATTTTATCAATAACAAAAAGTGACTGGACATGTCAGTGACTAATTGATAATCCAAGGGATGATCTCATGAAAACAAGTCAACACCCCTCCCAGTCTGGTGCACTGCAGATTTACAAGTTGAAATTATTCTGTATCTTTTCCGAAGACGCAATTTGGCAAAAATGTTAAAATGTCATTGTTTCAGCAACCTTAAAAGTGTTACTGTGCAATAAGTGATTTCACTGAAAAATTTGGTGATCCATTTCGAGGTGGATCTGCATTTGGAAGAGGGGGCAGAGCAAAAGTTCGTCCCCCTTAAAATATTACGTTTACCAATTTGTTTCAGTCGTTTTGGACAGAGTACGTATGCCTATTAAACAGGACTTGTATACATGTGTAGATAGTTAAAGTTGTAAATATTCAGTTGTAGTGAGGAAATATGACAGATGTGTAAAGAAGTGCTCCTCTAAGGAATTATTTTAAGTCAAAGGAACAGGAAATTCTCTGCGGTCTGGCTGGAAAACAAAGTGGTAGACACAGCGTTTAATTGGTTGCCATGAAGATTTTATTTGACAGTTCAACATGTTTTGGGACTGCAATTGGTTGTTGTAGTGAGGTCCATCACAAGTCCTCACAAGTTCCTCCCAGGTCCTCCCAGGTCCTCCCATTCCCTTCCAAGTCCTCGCAGGTCCTTACAAGTCCTCCCAAGTCCTCCCAGGTCCTCGCATGTCCTGGCAGGTCATTCAAAGTCCTTCCAAGTCCTCCCAGGTCCTCCCAAGTCCTCCCAAGTCATCCCATGTCCCCCAAGGTCCTCCCAAGACCTCCAAGGTCCTCCTATGTCCTCCCAGGTCCTCCCAAGTCCTCCCAAATCATCCCATAACCCCGAGGTCCTCCCAGGTCCTCCCACGCCCTCCCAAGTCCTCCCAGGTTCTCTCAGGTCCTCCCAAGTCCTCCTAGTTCCTCCCAGGTCCTCCTAGGTCCTCCTAGGTCCTCCCAGGTCCTCCCATGTCCTCCAAAGTCCTCCCACGTCCACCCAGCCCTCCCAAGCCCTTACAGGTCCTCCCAAGTCCTCCGAGGTCCTCTCAATTCCTCCCAACTCCATCACAAGTCCTTCAGTCTCAAGTCAAGATATAAGCTATTCATTTGAACTATGAAATGTACATTCATCCCTTGTTCTTTCCTGTTACTTGGTACTTTACAAATGTGTAATCTTTGTGACTATAAACTTAAGGCTTGTAATAGACTCAACTGCACAAGTGGCAATATTAGTCCCAACAAAAGAAGTAATTTACTATTTGAATTGTTGCCAGAAAATCCACGGAGAAAAACGTTCAAAATGTAAAATTATGGTTTTCCAGCAAATGTTCGAAAAAGATCACTGTACTGTTGACCCTTTGTACAAAAGTCGTTTTTGTAAAAACTCTTAAGAGGAATGTTATTTGTTTCATATATTGTACATGGGTTTTTTATCTGGAAAAATGAATTGTATAGAGACATGATTCTTATTGTCTCAACTATGGGAGTTGCCCATCCCAGTCATGTATAATGCACATTCTGCATCATCCATATCAGGAAATTGGTCCATGATTGTATGATGGCGGAGTACCGAGCAGTCCATCCACATCATAGGGTGGGTGGGGTGGGTTACCATCTGGAAGACATTTACATGAAATGACTCACCGGTCTCCAAATCACAAAAGCATTCGCAATGTGACAGATGTAAAGAGACCATCTGCATACTGCCCAGAAAGATCTGAGAATAAATTGATGGGACACATAATTTTCCTTTAGATTTTATATGTGAATGTTTATATCAAAATTGGAGGTTACCTAAATCCTCTATGGTTGTGAAATTTTGGGGAAATAAAATCTTTCTCCAATTCAAAATTTCAACAAATTTAATTGCAGGTTACCCCTTAACATTTTGAAGTTTCGATATATTGTTACCTATTTTTATAAAAACGCAAGGTTAATCATGTATGCTTTGAAACTTGAAACTGTCAAATTTTTATGGTTTGGTAAATTAGAGGAAATGTCAAGTTTTGTCAAATTTTAATATGCATTTACAGGAAACATGAAAGTTGGACTAGTTTTATTTACATGTACAATGCAAGGTTAACCCTAGTCTATGGAACAACCATTTGCACACAAGCGTCTATGATATTTGCGCAGACTGGCGATTAAATATGCAAAACAAGACATCTCGACCCTCCAGATTCTGACAATTCAGCAGGCACCATCTGTTTGGTTTTCAGGAACCTTGTGATTCACCAAAAATATGGCAGCCAATTGACCATTCAATAACGTAGGCCGTATTTCTGCTCGAAATGACATCAGAATTTCTAAAGTTGACTTTGATTGGCTGGCATGCAGGGGCGCATAAAATTTGCTTGCTTGGATATATCAGACGTTTGTTGTGTGACTCTGTACACGAGGGTGTGTGATCCTCAGACTAGGTTTACCCGTTTAGTTTTGAAATTTCGGGGAAATGTTTTGTGACAATCTGTGTTTTTCTACTGAATTTACATTTAAAAAGTCAGTCGTTAGGCCCCCCAAAAAAGTATCCGGTTTCTGGTATGCGCGTGCGTCGCCGTAGCCATGCGCGTCGGCAAAATAAAAACGGTTTTTTTTTCAATGAAAGATGATGTCTCAAAACCGCCAAACTCACTGGTTTGACTGGAATCCTGCTGCTGCACAATTTTAACGTGTTTTTAGATGAGGTTATGGTCGAGAATAAGCTTTATGTGGCCTCTCTGGACTCCCATATATTTGCACTAAGTTTAGTCGGGCACCATTTGCAGTCATCAGCCGACATTTGAAGCAAAAAAATCAGGTAAAAAAAAAAAAAAAAGCCGCGTCGCCGCACCACTTTTTGGGCAAGCTCCATACCAGAAACCGGAGACTTTTTTTTTTTTTGCCTTAGTATCTGGTGTATGTATAATAGAAATTAATAGTGACGTTTCTTCTCTTTGATTTGTTTGGAATATATACACAGTGGAACGTCGCTATACCGAACACCGCTATACCGAACATTCGGCTATACCGAACATCGTCTTTGGCTCCCGAATTTTGTGTACAAAACGTACCAAACATTGTTGTTGAAAAATGCAAACAGTGGCTATCATTTCCCCAAGGAATAAGTTCTGAAGAGCGCTATTTATTGAAAAGTATAGTACCAGAGCACCACTACCTTTAAATCGCTATACCGAACGATCGCTATTTTACGAACAATTTGTGTGGATCCCGCGGTGTTTGTTATAGCGGCGTTCCACTGTAGTGCTTAAAAACCTTGCAATTTACTTTTTCTAGTATTTTGTCATTGATTGTTCTGTAGTCCTCGCATTTAAGGTAAACTCCTTACCATTTTGAATATGTGAGCAAAATCAATTTTGCCTAAATTTTGAATTTTAATATAATAGATAATTAATGCGGCCTGATGTTTCAAACTTAACAAGTTCTGCCTCGGAGGTAAAATGACCTAGGTACAAGAAACAAATATTTAGGGTACAAGGAACAAACATGCAGAGACTTTTTATTTCAATTGCAATGATTTCCTATGTATTGTATTCTGAAAGTATGGAAATAAATATTGATTAATAAAAATTTTGAAGTCTGTCTGATTTAAATCAAATGCATCATTAATTAACCATTTACAGTGCTGAAAAAATACAATTTGCCCAATTTTAAACCTTCCCATTTTGAATTGAGACGAGGCTGG